GCACTGCACCTACTCAGACTACGTTATCAAAGCAATGGCAGACTGCCCCGTGCAAATCCTCACTTGGATGTGTCTGCAGTCTTGGAAGCTTGACTACGTTCTCTTACAGGGGTAGGAGGTCGTTAGGAAACAACAATTATTCACTTTGATACATTATGACATAAAATGGGAATGATGTTAAAGCCAAAGGTGTGTATATTTGTTTGCTTTTTAAAAGAAACGAGAAGGTCTTATTTGGGTTCAGTAACTACTCAGATATTGCCAGCTCACGTGACATAATCTGCTCTGCAAACTCGCTTCTTCCCCATTCAACCCCTTATCAAAGTTCAACCTCAACACATGAAAACAGGTATACAAAGGTGGCTTAAGTCATAGCTTGTAGATGACACACACTAAACCCACACTAATCCTATAGAATTTAAACTGATGCTAAACCATTTCAGTTTGAAAGCACTACAAATTCTTAAAAGAATATTTCACCTTACTTACTTCACAACTGCGGCGATTTAGCATTTCCAACAACTGTGCCAACCTTTTCAATCCAACAGCAACATTCTTCTGCCACAGGACATCTCAGATTTAGGTGAAATATTCGGTGCAGTTCCTTACATGAAGCAGTCAAAACCCGAAGGATTTTGATCAGATTGCGAACCTTGCCACATTGCCCGAAGTAATCTATCATTTCTGGATGACAGACTCTTACAGGTTTGTATGATGGCACTGGATCCACTCTTCCACAAAACCAAGTGAATTTTTCTGCAAAAGACTTCATGAGAGTATTTATAATCTTATTTGGATATTGTTCAAAACTGTTCATTTCCAATTCGAAAAGCTCTGCAAGGGTAATCCTGACAGCAAGGAATTCCATCCATCACCAAACTCCATTCTTTGGCGATTCCATTGTTTTTCAGAATGTCTATGGCAGGGATTTTTTCTGCTTTGGCATAGCTGCTTTGTCACACACTCCCACCATAATTTCAGTCTCTGATGTGCTTTCTTGGCTTGATTTTCACATTCTTTTGATGACTTGTGTAAGCGGATCTGTGTATGTATCGCCCAAGGTAACACACTCAACCTGCTGCTAGCATACTTAGTACAGAATAATGTTAACTGTAAATATTAAATGAGAAAAACATTGTCAGAGACTCCCATCTCTTTTCTGCAGAGTCCTGGACGCAGACCACTGAGCACACAACCACCATCATTTTCTTTTTTTCACACGAGCAGCATGTATAGTTGACAAACATCTCCAGTGTCAGTGATTGAACTTCAGCTGTCATTCAAAACCTGGAGAAATGTCAGGCAATTGAGCGCGATATTGCCAGGATACGACGGCAGCATCCACCCACCAGTTCTCATTCATGTTCTGCCATTAAAAAGTGAAAATACACTAGTAACGGGTAGGGCTGCTATAAACTCTTTACATCTTTTTCTCTCATCTGCAGTTCGCTGAACATTCCTCACTCACACCAGCACTGCTCCAGACACCGCTTTATTGAGCTCACCATCAAGTCACTGCA